GAGATGAGTATATGGCTACGCTGTAAGGTTTACCAGATGTTAATGCCATTACACCTCGTGTATGCGTTCAATGCACGTTGTGCGGGTTATCCATTCTTCTGTCATATGTTTCCTGGTATGTTGCCGCGCCATGTTTCCCGGCATGTTGCCGCGCCATGTTTCCCGGCATGTTGCCGCGCCATGTTTCCCGGTCATGTTTTCCCGCCATATTCTTCCGCGTGCCACGCTGTTCGACATGTTCAGTCGACGGTTGCTAATTAACACCAATATGTTTGCTATGGTTGCTAACAGCATGGTTGCCAACAGTAAGGTGTGGTTTTCGTTTTCCAGCGTCCTGTGCCGAAGAACTCGTGTTAAATGAAGATGCAATTGATGTCACTCCGGACGAACACATCCAGTTTCTCAGCAACCACAGAGTAATTAATTAGGTTGCGAAAATTACGCTGTCGTATGAATATATCGTGGCCATTGGCCTGAACATTTCACGCGTTACCAATCTCATACAGTTAACTGAAGTACCATGTGAAGAAAACGTTTAATGACATATGTGTATTATTCCTACTCCTGTGGTTCATCTGAGCTTTTGTAGATGTATTATGAAAAAAAAGTGAAATAAAATAATAATAATATGTTAAATTATAATATATATGTAGGTGATCTAAGACTGGCTCGCTCTTACAGGCTAGGCGGGACGTACTGGGTGCTGAGAGTGACTCGCAAACACGCTACATAGAGCTAGTGTTCGCTGCCGACTACAGCTTTGTGAGTGACTATCCTATAAACTGCACATTCATTATTTGTACGAGGAATACTCTCTATTAAGAACGGCTGACAGACACTTTATAGGTTTGTATCGTGCCTGGTCTCACGCTAACGAATGCATTTAATATGAGAATTCACAGATGTGAAGCAACAACCTGATGAATATATAGTTTATATCTTGTAATCAGTTTACTCTAGCATGGCGGCTGCTGTGGTATGCAATTGATATCGTTGATATTTTAGCGTCTCTATTTCACATTTATAATTATACCAGGTTTAATTAATAAATTAAAAGCGCAACTCCACATGTTATCTTTTACGCGTCCCGCGCGCATTCGCGGGCCTAGCGGCAAACTCACTTATATATATAATGCACCCTCACGCATCGATGGATAAATATCATACTTATATATTGTTTATATTACTAGATGAACAAGTATGGCGGTGACACTCACGTTGCTTCAGAACGACTTAAAGAGCTCGCGAATGAAGTCAATGCAGTGAGTATATATTGTTAGAAGAGCTTATTACAGTTATTAAAGAAAAATTCTTCTTTAACATTACTATGTTACTATTACACGCGCGCACGCGCGCCACATATACAATAATACACACGCAAACACACACGCGCGCGCGCACACACGGACGCACGCACGCACAAACACACACACACACACACACACACACACACACACACACACAACACACACACACACCAACAGCCAGCACATAACATACCGCGCGCGCGCCGCACACTGGACCGGGGTTAGGGTGTGAGGAGAATGCATAAACGATTGCACGAGACCCTAGATTGAAATTGAATATAACGTGGGCATTAGCCATTTGTCGCATAGAAAGAGGCCACAACGTTATTGTATAGAGCCATGTACAGATCTGGCAATGTTTACCGCTAACGATTTAGTTTAGAAATGATATAGATACGGGTCAACTAAAACAATGAGTGACGAATATTGGTAACTCATGAATATAGTAAATGTTGACGCGTCGCACACTGAATTACTCAATATCCATCTATCCTAATTCTGCTTTGGCGGGATGTTCTCCTTGTTAAGTAAGACATCCGCGCCGTGCTGTTGTAGGTGTAGCAGAGGGTCAATATTACGTAGCTCTAGTCTATCTAGAGATGTGGAGCAGACGTAAATGACGGTTACACAAGAGAGTCGATCCAGAAAACTGCTGGCACTTTTCAAAAGATACGTAAAGATCATATATGCGGCCAAAGGGCGCCGCGCGCCCTGCCCGTATTTAGAAAGCGACACGTAATAGCATCTTGTTGAGGTATGCAATCAATTATGCAGAAGGTTTATATAGCAACGTAGTATACTAATATATACTAAATTATGTATTTAATTATTTAATTTATATTAAAGATTATGTACTAACAGTAGTTTACCTAGTTTTTTACACCTGTGTTTATAGGGTGTCTAGGTGTTAGTAGCGCAGGAAAGAAGTATCGGGATGAGATGTAAGAAGAGTGTGTAAATAGGTTATTGTTTCGCGGCGAGAATTTTCAGCACTGGTCGTATGTCGGGCTTTGTAGAATGGGATGTGATTATTGTAAAAGCAAAAAGCAGCCACCAGAACGAGAAAGTTTGTTAGCGGCTATAGGAAAGATGCAGCGCACTACGAACGGACACGTACGGACACACATACACACAGCCACACACCCAGACACACGGCGGCGAGCGGGGCGCGGACATCACATACAGCACCGCACACAACACGTGGACACCTAGCACATAAATAAACAAACAACCAACAAAACGAAGTAAACAAAACAACAAACACCGCACATATGTCGCGCTGCACGACACACACACAGGGCGCACGCGCGGCATGCGCAAGCGCGCACACGCCCACGCAACTCAGACGCACGATCGCCACGGCACACGCACACGCACGAGCCAGCACGGCACGCACACGCACATTCGCACTCTTCTCCTCAGACACACACACACACAATGGCACGATGCATTACAAACACCACCACAACGACCGCACATGTCACACAATAGGGCAGTGAGGAAGAAATAGAGTCGGACTGAGAGGGTCGCACGACACGCATAGCCTCAAGAGAGTGGAGCACGCGCCGCGCGCACGCACTACACACACACACACACACACACACACAGTAGTTGTTGAAACGTAATAACACTGTTAACACAATTAATTTGCTCTAATGTTATACGATTATACGAAATTAAAGTTGTTGTAGTATCGTCTGATAGAGTTGACATATTTCAGCAATGAGGAGTTCAAGGGAGCCACTGTGGGGAAAGCATATAAACGCACAGTTTGCAGCTTTGAGTACTCCTGCGGAATCGCTCAAGTACGTATTGGCCTAATATACATACACATACGCACACACGCGTGCGCACGCACGCATAGACACGCACGTGCGCAGGAACAAAGCTCACACGCACGCACGCACGCACCCAGCCGCACGCCCCACATGCACACGCAGGCACGCACGCACATAGGGCGCGTACACACGCAAGCCCGCACACATGCATGCATACAAATTTAATTTTTTTTAAATCAATCTTAAATCATTCTTAAATCTTTAATTAAATTAAAGTTGTAATTATCTTAAGATATTTTATATTATTCTACCCAAAAAGTATAATGAATGCAAGCGATTGATGCTGAGAACTTATGACAGCAATGAGTCATTAATATTAAAGCCTTAAAGTTGGCATAAACACATGGTGGCAAAATCTCACGTTGTTTTCCCGCCAGTTTCACAGCGAGAAACCTTTAGTTTCGGCGTCCACCATTGCTCACGAAATGGGTCACGTGATGGGCATGGATCACGACCAGATTCTGGATGGGCGTGGTGAGAACTGTGATTGTGACGACAACACCTGCATAATGAGTGCAGTCTCAACGTGAGTGCTGTGACAGCAGTAATTACAGTATCAGAAGCGAGTAGTCGTACTCTGATACTTGGTACTACTAAAGTGCTTAACTTTAACTTATCCTCTTGGTCTCCCGGTGGGAGATACGGCCGTAACTAAAGTACTACTAAGTACCAAAAAACCATTACTTTTTAGTTGATAGAATGTGTGTCATTCGTGCTATGTTTCAGCATTCCTACGGTTTGCCTCGTTTAAATAGTTCGAACATTAAACAAACCATAGCAAATTACGGTTAGATTAGGGTTAGTGATAAAATATAAGGGTTAGGGTTATGTTTAGGGTGAAAACAGTTTACCACGGGAGACTGTATTAATACCACCTATGCCCATATTTTAACATTTTAACATTTAAACACATGAAACTCGCTGATGTGCCATGTCGCCTGCACAGTGGTTCGGCGCCATTCGTTAGATGGTCGCGATGCTCCGAGAAGCAACTGCGTGATAACTACGCCAGGGAGCAGGACGCGTGTCTGCGGGAGCGCCCCGACAGTCTATACATGTCTCCAGTATGCGGCAATGGCTTCCTCGAAGAAGGAGAGAAATGTGACTGCGGCATTGTAGAGGTATTCGGCATTACTGCAGTCACTGTGGCATATGTAATATGCCTTCTTCTCTAAAAAGGCAGTGGAATGCTTTCCTTTATAGTAGTCATATGATGATATAGCGATGGTCATATAGATCATATAGCGATGGTCATATGACCAAGTATGATAGAGCATACCTTTATTCCGGCAGCGTGATGTGTGAGTCATGTGTGAGAGAGATGACAATAGTGTTAATAGTGCTGCTGCTGCTGCAGCCGCCGCTGCCGCCGCTGCTGCTGCTGCTGCTGCTGCTGCGGCTGCTGTCGCCGCCGCTGCTACTGCTATTATTAGTAGTATTTTTATTATTATATTATTGTTGTTGTTTTGTGTTGCTGGTAATGCTGTAATTGTTGTTGATTTTGTTCACGACCTGTTCATGCTATCGCACGTTACAGCTGTGTACGAACCCGTGCTGCAATGCTACGACATGCCAGCTTCAGCCGCATGCTGAATGTGGTGCCGGGTCGTGCTGTGATCTACATACGTGCCAGGTAGGCTAAACATCAACGTCTAATCCAGTGGTAATCGATCTATAGATATCAAAGCAAATCACAGCCTTCTAAATCCGTGCAAGAATAATTATTGCTACTACTATTACTACTACTACTACTGCTGCTGCTGCTACTACTGCTGTTGCTACTACTACTACCAGGACCAAGATAATATAGGATCATATATTATCTTACTCCTGCTACTACTACTACTGCTGCTGC